ATCACTGTTAGTTCCTGTATATGGAATAAACGTAAATGCCGCGAACTTTAATGTACAAATCGTCGAATAGAAAAAAGGTCACGATAATTAATGAACATATAAATAAAGTCATTCATAGATATCCGAGGCGTTATCAGTTCGTTAGCTACGAAATTGAATAATGAATTATCGTATAAGATAATGTTTTATATATGTTACTATCTATTTTCTTATGTTGTAAATCTTGGTACATGTCTGCAGTCTCAGGAGAAACATTTATTGTCCCGTTGTGTTATTACTCGGTTAAATATGTATTAACAGTTGGTTTTACCCTCCTAAAAAGGGTGCAAATACTTTGGAATTCGTGTATTAAATTCCTTAAACATCAGCAGGAAATCCAATAAAAGAAGAAAAAAGATGGAGGAGACGTGTGTGTGTGTGTGTGTGTGTGTGTGTGTGTGTGTGTGTGTGTGTGTGTGTGTGTGTGTGTGTGTGTGTGTGTGTGTGTGTGTGTGTGTGTGTGTGTGTGTGTGTGTGAAAATTAAACGCAAACCATCCAAACCATTGTCACTACGCACATGTCTTGATTGACAACAGTGAAACGCATCAATCGAAGAGAAATGAAAAACGTAGGCCTATCAACCTTGAACAACCGAAGCACTTCTACCACGAGAGGAGACAACATCCCACTCCCTATTTTCCATACGTAGTAGGTGCTATACTACGCGAACTTATCTAACAACACTACGAAGTCGTTCGGACCCTCGTTAGGTCGTTACGCAGCGTAGTAAGAATCCAACACGTGGATTTGTGGGTGTGAAATGTGTAAAAAGAATTTTGACCGCACACTCCCGCAAAGCCATTGAGCCATGCCGCTTGTGTGACCGTTTTTTCCTCGCGAAAGTGTGTGACAGTTTTCGTTTTTTTGCGTTTTCCCTTTGCATCGGTCGTTTTTGCATCGTCTGTTTGTTGTTTGTCGTTCTTTTTCTGATGTTTATGTGTTTTCGTTTCGTGAGTTTATCTTTTGCTTTTAATCACATCGCCGGGGGGAGACTCCTCATACGGGACAAGAACTGTGTTCCTGGCCTTCCGAGATGCCCGGTCTGCTTTCGGTGAGTTTTTAATTGTTTACTTCATGAAAATAGTAATACAATCAGTTGTTCCTGGACTGCAGGAGGATAGGTTTTCGAATCTGAATTTTATGAAGCGAGCAATGTTGACTATTTACTTTATTTCCCTTCGAATTTAGAACCCTTTATACATATATACATATATATACTTATTTGTTACAAGTGAGATATTTGTTTCAAATTAAAGTAATGAAAATGTAAGCATTATAAGACAATAGTTTAGCAGGTGTGGATATTTTCCGCAATTATATTATTGTACCGCAAAAAGCGATCGTTCAGGCCTCTGCGCTCCGGCAAAGGCCAACAAACCTCCACCATCACCAGTGAAGGAGGTCCAGGGGATTGCCCCCAGTAAGGGTAAGGGGTTAGGAATGGCGAAATACCCTTAGGAAAGGGGTAAGGAAGTACCCCAGGGAAGGGGTCCGGGGCTTGCCCCTCATAGGGAAATACCCCAGGGAAGGGGGTCCGGGTTAGGTTAGGTTTAGAAATTTCGTTGGGATTTCGGCAACACTGACACCGGCGCATCTTGCAGCGGCGCCGGACTCTCGTTCGGATTTTTTTTTTTTTCAATAATTTCACTGATTCCACAATTTCTCCCGTGTGTGTGCCCCCCCCCCCACCCTTGATTCTCCATGTGTCCCCCAAGATGAAGGGGGGGAGGAGAAATAACATAAATATGTGCGGCTGTCTTACTTAGAATTACCAACAGGCTTAAATAAGAAGAGTAGCGAACAGAAATGCGTAAAACTAGCACAAAAATGCTAAAAATCGGCTAATGAAACTCTATGGACATGCCCGCCACTTTTGAAACTCTACACAATGATGCACCAGAATTCGAAAAACTCTTAGGGGAACCGACCCACTTTTCGGCAAAATCTACAGGATTTCACACTTCCCAAACCCAAAATAACGTCCTGACCCATAATCCAATCTAACCTAACAATTTACAGTGCCGTGACTAGGCGTGTCCTTCGGGCACTGCCCAAGGGGAGGGTTGATGTCCAATCCCCTGGCATCAGAAATCAAACTGCGATAGTTATTAAGATCTTTTTCTTCGTTGCCACTGTATAGTTTTAAGAATAACCTAGAATCGACGCAACACCAAAAACAAAACATTTCTCACCGACCTTCTGTCAACGAATGCCCGGGATGAAGAATATCAGGGAAATTTTGGGGTAAAACAAGCTTAAATAAGAATCTTGATCAAAACTCTGTTAAAATAGCACCAAAAACGCTTAAAATCAGCCAATGAAACTCTACAGACGTAACCGCTATCTTTGAAATTCTATGGACCAACGCTCTAAAGCTCAAAAACTCTATTGGAACCCAACCCAACTTTCGGCAAAACTACGAAGATTTGCATGTTCCACCCCCCCCCAAAAAAAAAAAAAAAAAAAACGTGACAAGGCATGCCAGAAGGGGACAGTTGATGGGGGGCTCCACCCCCTAACACCCCTGGTACACATTATCTTCGCCTCGGTATGTACGGCAAGATAGAACTGCATTCACACCATAAAATAAACCAGATACTTTTATATCTGGAAAAGTCTAACTCTCGTTCGCTTCTTTCTATCTGGATTGCTTTGATTTTAATAACTTTTTCAGGTATTTGGAGCTTTTGATGGGCCCAGATATTAAACTGGGATGGTTACTAGTCTAATTTTTCTTAGTGCCACTTTTTAAGTCTTAAAAATAACCCAGAATCAACACAACACTGGAAACGCAGCATTTCTTACCGGCATTGTGTTACTGAATGCCTGCTTCGGTATACAACATAGTTTAAGCTCCAGCGACTGCAACTTGTTTACCTTGCCAGGAATAGCAAAACACTGACCGCCTAATTCATTACTGCGATATGTTACTATGCACTTGTCAAAACGATTTTTTGCTAATTACCAGTAACTGCTGTTACACATTTATGCTTTTAAAGTCTTATTAATGTTATTATACTTCATTTGCGTATTTTAAGATTGATCTATACCCTTATTTAGAATCGTGCGCATCGAGTATTCACACTCATTCGCCAGCCGCCAAGTTGACAGCTGACCAGCCCGCTCATTTTGAGGTAGAACTCCGGTGAGAAATGTTACGTTTCCAGTGTTCTGTTTATTCTGGGTTATTTTTAAGAATTATACAGTGGTACTAAGAAAAAATACTCTAATAACCATCCCAGTTTAATATCTAGGCCCATCAAGTGCTCCAAATGCCGAGAAAAATTAATAAAATCGAAGCAATCCAGACGGTAGAAAGAAGGCACGAAAGTTTGAAGTTCCCAGACACAAAGGTATTTGGTTTATTTTATGGTGTGAATGCAGCTCTAACTTGCCGTAAATACTGAGGTGAAGAGAATGTTTCCATGGGTGTGTTGGGGGCAGAGCCCCCCATCGACCCACTTGTCTGGCAGTGCCCGAAGGGCATACTTAGTCACGGCTGCTGCAGTGTATGTATTGGAGGTATGGAGCAATGTTGAAGAATCCTGTGTAATCGAGGGGAAAGATAGTTGTGGTGATACTTATGCAGATTGAAAACAAACGAATTAATTTATGAGAATGGTCTTGTTCACAGTCTATTTGCATTATTAGCAAAGCACGACTTTAAATTATATTTCCACGTGTCATACATCAATGTTTAGGGAGACCAGTATCAAAAGTAGAGGGAGTAAGTCGAATTTTTAAATTACTTTCATGTATTAGCATTTTATTAATTTTTAACAGCATGTAATGGAAATATAGTGTAGAGGCAGAAAATAAAAGCATTTTGCGTATATTTGTTTCTGACAGTGGAAGCGTTAAAATAGATATTCCTTAATATCAAGACAACAATTTTCTTTATATATTTACAAAGTAACCTAAGTGTCGATTAATGATGTTATAATAGTTCATCGTTTTTCTTAGTGCATAATGTAAATCGCACAATAAATATTTAGTAAGGTTTCCTTTTTAAATAAGAGGAACTGACCTTACTAAAACTGGTTTGTAGTTATCCAGAATAGGTTTTCGCGCTTTGCCAGAATAGGCCTATACGTGTTGGAGGTCTAAACATATTGTGACAGGTGTTGAAAAAGGTTAGTATTTCCGATTAAGATGTAACCGGAACGCGTCAAATACATCTCCTGTGCTGTGAATTATTCATTCTCGTTCACAACGTTTTCTGTTGGAGGTTTGTTGGCCATCAACGTTATGTTATATACGGTGGCTACGGTATCAGCTGAGTGGTGTGTAGGTGCACGAACTGTGATCAGCCTTTCTTGGCACATCTTAAGGCAGTTTTATACTTTTTTTCTTAACAGTACTTTAGTCTTTTTCTTCTTCATTTTGTGTCACCATGTCCTGTCCTACAGAAAAGTTAATTTTCTTCGTTTTATGTCACCAAAAGTTAATTTTTTAATCTCTTCTTCCCCAGTGCGGCATGGAGGGAGTGGCTCCGAATGAGTATGCGGGCGCCAAGGGTGCCAGTGCACAGTACATGGGCATGGGCGTGCGGGCGGACGGGCGTTTGTCCAAGGGGGCGTGTAAGGAGGACCTACACGTATTAGCTCCTTCCGATGACGAGGACATTAGCCTCAAGAGCCTGGCATCACTCCTGAAGGATTACCGACCTGAGGATCACGACGTGGAAGACTGCGGCGCGGGCGTGATGTGGACGGACCTGATGGAGCCTGACGCCGGGGGCCGCTGCGGAAGCGGGGCGGAAGGAGCGGGCGCCGCAGGGGCCCTGGCCGTCCGCTTCGCCGAGGACGACGTCGGCCGCGATAAAGGTGAGTAGCGAGGGCGTGTTGTGTGGTTGCTGATTTTTGTTTAATGGGGAAGGTAGTGAAGCACAAGTCGAAACGGGATGAGATTGTCATAGAAATTAAGTGTTTTTTATTTTTGGGTCGGGGAAAGATATGAGATAAAAAACGTCCCTTTACACGCACACGCACACGCACACGCACACGCACACGCACACACACACACCACACACACACACACACACACACACACACACACACACACACACACACACACACACACACACACACACACACACACACACACGGAAGAGCAACGCGATGATTAAGGGATGGTAAATGCGAGGCCTTGATTGATTGTAATCACTGTGCCATTCTCATTGATTATGCATTAGTGAGATGAATGTCATTAGGACTGCTGCCATGATTATTTTTAACTTTTATCTCACGTATATGTATCATTTATGTATTTATGTTCATGATATGTACATAAAATATCTATCTATCTATCTATCTGTTTGTCTATATATAAAACACTGTATGTAGGACATGCATATAGATAGATACATCTATGGATCTCATAGATATACATTTATCTATCTAGCTATGCGATCGATGTGCATGCCTAGACTGATAGACATACATTAATTTCTGTGTATATGCATGTCCGTATATATATGAATATTCATTGGGTCATGTCTTGCACAATTCTAACAACCCGGCCATATATTAGGCCTTATATTGTCTTTGTATGTTTGTCTGTGTTTGCGTAGTGTTAGTGTGCAATTGTTTGTCAGTAATAAACGCATGCCAAGTCAGACAAATTATCAGAGTATCCCCTGTGATCCGCCGATGCTTAAAGAAAACGGGATTGTCAGTCCTTTTGGAGATCGCGTAGCAGGGCGAGGTGGTGATGAATTAATCTTTTGTGAGAAATGGAATTCGTCGAGAAGTGTTAAGGGAAGGATATGTGAACGAGAAGAAGAGGCAGAGGAATGAGGAGGGGGAGGAGGAGGAGGAGGAGAAGGAGAAGGAGAAGGAGAAGGAAGAGAAGAAGAAACAGAGAGGAAGGGAGAGAGAGGGAGGAGAAAAGGAAAAGTAGTAGTTGTAAGGAGGAAGGGAAAAAAAAGGGCTGCTGCTGCTGCTACTACTACTACTACTGCTTTTACTACAACTACTACTTATTCTACTACTTCTACTGTTACTACTACTACTACTACTGGCTGTGCTACTACTACTACAATTACTAGTTCTACTTCTACTACTACTACTGTTTACTTACTTCTATTATTACTATACTGTTACTATTATTACTACTACTACTGCTACTGCTAGTAATAAAACCATTTATAGTATTGGTGGTGGTGATAAAACACTACCATTGTTACTACTATTGCTGCTACTGCTGATCTCGATAGTAATCACGGAAAAAGTAATATTCAATAATAACGATATACAACGAAAAAAACGACGCTATCAAGAGAAAAGAAACAAAACGAATATCCGGGGGAGGAAACGGCGGAAGTGGTCTTGAAGTCTCATGGACGACAGTGCCATGGGGAGGGAGGAGGGGGGGTAGTGCCATGGGAGGGATGGGGATAGTGCCATGGGGGGAGGGGGGATAGTGCCATGGGGGGAGGGGGGGATAGTGCCATGGGGGGTGCCATGGGGGGATGGGGATAGTGCCATGGGGGAGGGAATGGGGGATAGTCCCACGGGGGAGGGTGACAGGGGATAGTCCCATGGGGAGGAGGGGGATGAATGGATGGGGTAATGTCATGGGGAGGGAGTGGGAGAGGGGGGGTGAATGGGGGGGAGGGTTGGGTTGAGGGTTAAGGGTTAGAGGAAGTTGAGAGGGAGAAAGGTGGCCGGGAGGAGAGGACGTCAAGGGAAGAGGAGGGGGAGGAGAAGGGAGGAGGAGAGAAGAGGAAAGAAACGGAATGGGAGGGAGTGAGGGAGGAAGAGGGGGTGAGGAAGGTGGAGGAAAGTACATGGTGAGAGAGAGAGAGAGAGAGAAAGAGAGAGGAAGGTAGGTTATGATATTTTAGGTTATTTATGGAGGTAATAATAGAAGAGATTGGGGAAAAGGGAAGAGAAAGAAGGTATGAAGAGAAATCGAGTAAAGATGTTGAAACAAAGTAAATGAAAGGGAATGGAAATCTACCACAGTAAGGAAATAATATGTCATGATAAGAAATGATCGAAGAAAAGAAATCAAACAAAGCAAAAAAAAAAAAAAATGAAATGTAGAAATTACTAACGAACGAAGGAGGGGATAGACGGAATTACAGAAAAAAGAGTAAAAGAATAAATTCCCGAAATTACGAATGGAAGGAAGTACCGAGAAGCGAAAAGAGAAAGCGGACGGAAGTAAAGAAAATGACAAGTCGACGCCCAAGGTAACGAGAGGAAGAAAGAAGAGAGAATACAAACACCAAAGAACATAAAAAATGAATAGATCAAACAAAAACAAATAAAGGAGAGAGAAGAGAAGAGAAGCGAAGCGCCTACGTGCAGGTGGAGTTGCCCGGGCAGCTTCGAGACGAGGTATGACGTCACTGGGGGCTGGTTTGACGTCATCAGGGCCTTGAGAGGACCTGACCTCTGCCTTGCCCGAGGAGGGAGGGGTGGAGGGGTATGAGGAGGCTATAAGGGAGAGGGTATTGAGGGTACTAGGGGGGTATGTGGGGGCTATGGAGAAGAGGGTATTGGGGGTATTAGGGGTATTTTGCGGAGAGGAGGTTGGGGGTATGAGGGAGAAGGGGTCTAAGAGGGTACGGGTGGAGGGTAAGGGGTATAGAGTTGGGTTGGGGGAGGGAGGGGTAGTGATAAGCAGGGTAAGGACTCGCAATAGGGTACAGACGGAGTGGGTGAGGGGGAAAAGAGGGTCAGGAGATGGGTAGGGGAGGGGGGGAGTGGGTGAGGAGGAAAGGATTGTCTGGAGGGAGGAGGGGGGGGGAGGGGGAGGAGTAGGTGGCATAGTTGGGAAAAGGGGGAGGAAGGAGGATCAGGAGGGGAGAAGAAGGGTCTGGAGGGGGGGGAGAGTGCAAAGTGGGGTGAAGGGGAAGGAGGATCAGGAGGGGAGAAGAAGGGTCTGGAGGTGGGAGAGTGGCAAAGTGGGGGAAGGGGGAGGGGGAAGGGGGAGGGAGTAAAATACGCACTTGTCGGCAATAGAGTTTGATTCGGGAGGTGGGTCGCCCGGCGGAGATTGCGGCCGCCGTGGCTGTTTTTGCGGTGGGTGTGGGATTTGTTTGCGATTGTACGATGGTTGTAGTTATATTTTTTACATCTTTACTGTTATTATTGTTATTTTTTATATTGTTGTTACTATTACTGCTGTTACTACAATTACTCATTACTGTCATTATGTTATTACTATTATTACTAACTACTATCACTACTTTTATTTGCGATTACTGCTATTACTATAATTACCATTACTGCAACTACTATTACTATAATTACTATTAATTTACTATTACTATATTACTATTACTGCATTTACTATTACTATAATTACTATTACTATTTGCAATTACTAATTACTATTACTATAATTACTATTACTGCATTTACTATTACTATAATTACTATTACTGCAATTACTATTACTATAATTACTATTACTGCAATTACTATTACTATAATTACTATTACTGCATTTACTATTACTATAATTAGTATTACTGCATTTACTATTACTATAATTACTATTACTGCAATTACTGTTACTACTACTTGTTCGTGTGGTGATTGACTACTGAAGGCGTGTTTATTTATTTATTTTTTCTTTATATCACAGTATAATTCTTGTCGACACTGTTCAAAAGTAACATGTTCGCTGCAACATTTTATCGCTTATTTTCCTTGTTTGAACTGTGAAAACGGGAAAAGGAAAGATGGCGGGGGGGGGGGGGTTGTGGATTCAGTTATACGTCGTTGTTCACTGGCCTTGGCCGGGAGTTCAACAGGGAGGTGTTTTTCAGATTGAACTGGAAATGTTTGTATTTATCTTGGAGATTTACCTGTCTTCAGTAGCTTTTCCATTTTCGTTATTTTCTCTTGTTTTTTTTTCATATATTCTTTCATTTTTTTCTCTCTCTCTCGCTCACCTCTCACCCTCTCTACTCTCACTCTCACTCACTCTGTCTTACTTTTACTCTTGCTCTTACTTATTACCTTTCTTACACTTCATTCTTACTCTTACTCTTATTCACACAAAAACATTTGCTCGCTTAATCTTAGATTCTAAACACAATAGATTTGACAATTGTTTTGCAATGTATGCCCGTCACATTCGACAATGACATCATTAGCATATTTCCCCGCGGTAAACAAAACCTTTTTTTTTATTCAAGGGAAGGAAGTGGGTTAAATGGCTAAATATTTAGACAAAGAGAACGAAGAGAAGAAAAGAAAACGAGAAGGAAAAATGGAAAAGAAGAAAGAAAACGAAGCCCGATGTGTAAACGTGTTTGACCCAGGCGCTGACTTCAAATACTGGGTCACGTGTTTTTTTTTTATGTTGGTGTTTGCTTTTATGTTTTGTTTGAATTGTTTGTGGTTTGTGTGTGTGGTTGGTCTTGGTCTCGTTCGCGTTGGTTTATAAATTCGGTGTCGAGTTTAACGAGGGGAAAGGTGTGAGGGTAATATTTTTCTTCCTTATCGGTCACTTAGATAATTTTTTTGCGTCCTGAAGTGAGGGCGAGAGAGCGCGGGAGAGAGAGAGAGGTGGTGTGAATCTAGGACAACCTTGGTCTCTTTTTTCTTTCTCTCTCTTCTCTTCTCTTCTCTTCTCTTCTCTTCTCTTCTCTTCTCTTCTCTTTCTCCCCTCTCTCCCTCTCCCCCTCTCTCTCCCTCTCCTCTCTCTCTCCCTCCCTCCCTCCCTCCTCCCTCCCTCCCTTCCCCCCCCCCTCCCGTTCTTCTGCTTCTTCATTTTCTCCTCCTTTCATCCCCCCTCTCTTTTCCCTCCCCCCTCTCCTCTTCTCCATCCCCTCTCCTCTTCTCCATTCCCCTCTCCTCTTTTCCATCCCCTCTCCTCTTCTCCATCCCCCTCTCCTCTTCTCCATTCCCCTCTCCTCTTTTCCATCCCCCTCTCCTCTTCTCCATCCCCTCTCCTATTTTCCATCCCCCTCTCCTCTCTCCCTACCCCACCTCTTCCTCTCCTCCCTCCCCCCCTCCCCCCTTCACTTTCTCCCACCCTTCCTCTCCTCCCTCCCCCCTTCACTTCTCCCTCCTTCAATGTCCCTCCCTCCCTCTCTCCTCCTCCTCCTCCTCCTCCTCCTCTCCTCCTCCTCCCCCTTCCCTTCCTTTGGTTGAGTAGGAGAGTAAATAGGTACTAAGGGGAAAGAGTGTGCCGTGTCTACATTACTTTTATTGCGTATATTTGCTGTGTTGTTGAATTGCGGTAATATATTTTAAGATGTTTTCTCATAAGATTTAACGTATTTGTAATAGATTTTAAGGTAGTTTGTAATAGGATTTAAGGTTTTTGTAATAGATTTTAAGGTATTTTTCCTTGGTGATTAGTTATTTCATTGTTATGTGTTGTATATTGATATCTTTTTTCTATGTTATTGTTAAATTCATAATGATTATTGTTATAATCATCATTATTCATGTTATTATAAGTAGTATTCGTGTTATTGTTATTATCATCATCATCAGTATTATTATTGTAATTATTATTATTGTCATCACCACCATCATCATCACCATTATTGTTTTGAATATTATTGATTTTTTGTGCGTTTTCCAATTTCATTCCATCTGGTAGCAACTTTATCATCTCGTAACTATTATTTTTTTGACTGTTACATTTCGTACCCTGATATTATTATGGATCGTGTCACGTCCATTGTCACATTTACTGTCGCATTCCATTTTGTAATTAATTATATCAAATTATGTACGAAGTGCATGGCAGAAAAAAAATACAAATACAGAATTTTTTTTTTTTTTTTTTTTTTACAAATACAGAAAACCGAGGATTTGACAGAAAGGTTTTTATCTATTATACACGGATAAGAGAGCGAGAGAGTAGTATGGAAAATAGATTTTTTTTTTTTTTTTTAATATTTGGCAATATGGAAAAATAGATTAACGCATTTTAAAAGTATTTGGCGATGGAAATAATAAGAATTAGTGAATAAGTATAATTTCGAAAAAAAAACTTGTATGTATACGGCATATATATTTACTTTAATTGTTCCACATCAGTTCCAAGGCTTTATAAAAAAAAAGTGGGACCAGAAATATTACCACACTGTTTTTACCTGCATGTGTAACTGTATATAGAATGATCAGCTACGCATCAGCAAACAAACAAACAAAAACAGACCCATAAATATTACCATACGCCATTTCTACCTCTTTGTGTCGGGTAATTATTATTCGCGTGCTTAAAAACATCAAGATTTCAGATAAGCAGAGGTAACGTGGTATAGTGAGAAGTCGTTTATTGTGTCAATCATAGATGGCGTTGGTCGGAGGTGGTGGGGGGGAGAGGAGGGGGCAAGGTAGCGCTCGGAAAAAGTGGTTTGCGGGAATAGGAATAGGTAGCGAATGGCCTATTTATTGTTAATAATGGGGTGATGAGGTGGTTGGTCGTTAGTGTGTTGTTGTTGTTGTTATTAGGTGTAGTTCTTGTAGTAGTAATAGTGTCCGTCGTCGTCGTTATGATCACCACAATCACTATCACCATCATCGTCGTCGTCGTTATTGTCATCATTTCCATCATCGTCATCGTCGTCGTCAACATCATCGTCGTCGTCATCATCGTCATCGTCATCATCGTCACATCATCGTCATCGTCAACATCATCGATTGCATCATCATCATCATCATCGTCAATCATCGTCATCAATCATCATCATGTTTGTTATTCCTGATTGTACGAAAGGGGAGAGACAAAGAGAAAGAGAAATACGAAAACAAGAAACAGACGAATGCATGAAAGGAAAGAGACAGAATGTGAAAGAAAAATGGGAAAAAAAGAGGAGGGCACAAAAGGCGTGAAAAAAAGAAACAAAAAGAGAAAGCGAAATAAGAAAACAACAAGACACACGAAGACACGAAAGTAGAGAGAGAGGAAAAAGGAGAGGAAAAAAGACATTAGACAGAGAACCAAGGACAAAGAACGAGGGGGGGGGTGAGAGACGCAGGCCCCAAGAAACACGCGAGAGACGAGGAATGAGGACGAGAGAGAGACAGACAGACAAACGGGATAATGCGCGCTTGGGGAGACACCTTCGGAAAGGTCGGCGCGGGGACCTTCGGCAGACATTCGGGGGAACACTGGGCGGACTTTTTTTCGGGGGGGGGGGGGGGTAGAGGGTATGGGATAGGAGGGGGTAGAGGGAGGGTGGTGGGGGAAGAGGGAGGGGGAGGGAGGGGTGATGGGGAGGAGAGGGTATAGGGGGTAGAGGGAGGGGTGGTGGGGGTAGGAGGGGAGGGGTGGTGGGGGGCAGTGGAAGTGAGGGGAGGAGAGGGTGTGGGGGCATTGGAGTTAGGTGGAGGGGTGATGGGGAGGAAGAGGGTATGGGGGCATTGGAGGTAGGGGAGGGAGGAAGAGGGAGGTGGGGGCAGTGGAGGTAGGTTGATTGAGATGGGGAGGAAGAGGGGGGTGGGGCAGTTGAGGTAGGGGAAGGGGAGGGGTTGGGTTTTGAAGACAGAGGGGAGGTGGAGGAGTGGGAGGGGAGGGAGAGGAAGAGGGAGGTTAGGGACTGGGGTGTAGGGGGTGTTGAAGACTTTTTTTTTTTTTTTTAGGGGGGAGGGAGGTGGGTGGGTGTGGGGTAAGGGATGGGGAGGCGTGGAGGGTTTTAAGACTTTTTTCGGGGTTGGGTAAAGTAGGTAGGGGGTTACAGGATGGGGATATTTTTTTCTCTGGGGGGGGGGGAGGAGAAAGGCGTAATGTATTGGTCTCAATTTGTGTATTTACGTAATCTGTGGTTTTGTTTCTCTCTGTTTCACTGTCTCTCTCTCCCTCGCTACTTCTCCCTTTCTCTCCCTCTCCATCCGTCCCTCCCTCTATTTCTCACTCACACACGCACACACTAACACACACACTCACTGCACACACTAACACACACCACACTAAACACACACACACTAACATGCACACGCACACGCACACGCACACGCACACACTAACACTAACACACTAACACGCACACACACACACACACACACACACACACACACACACACACACACACACACACACACACACACTCACTCACTCACTCACTCACTCACTCACACTCACACTCACACTCACACTCACACTCACACTCACACACACACACACACACACACACACACACACACACACACACACACACACACACACACACACAACACACACATCACACTCACACTCACACTCACACTCACACTCACACTCACACTCACACTCACACACACCATCACCAACCACCACCAACCACCACCACCATTATCATCATAAAAGAGCGTGTTAAAAAAAAGAGCAAATAAAAGTCATGATCAGTTTAAAAAGTTCCCAAGAAATGTTAAAGTTCAGAACACCTAGATGGCAACACTGTTTTTTTTTCTAGAAGCAGATTTTATGTAAACATGAAAGTCTGCAATATTGCATATTTATGTTGCTATTGACTGACACAAGTGCAGCGTGACTCAGATGTAAAAAGCAAAGATGTGACCATGATTTATTCAGTTTCGGGAAGAAATTATCAACGCAAATATTTTTCACCTCATTTCTTTAATTATCGTTATTACTCCAGTTCTTCCTTTCTTTCTTCATCTCTGTATCTCTCCCTCCTTAATTTCGCATGATTAAAAACACAAAACGTCTTCATTCTATGTAGATAACCTTGTAGATACTTTAGGGTAAATTACATAAGAAAAAAGAGTTTTAACAGACGTTTTTTCTAGTCTCTACCCACTATGCATTTATTATACATTTCCATCCTTCTTGCTGTTTAGTTCTCGCTTCCATTTCCAAATCGGATATAGGAAAAGGGAACGACGTTTTATGCTTGTTAGACACGTGACTGGTTTGGCGATGGCAGATCGTCGTGGAGGCAAACAGGCAAAAGGGGCGGGGGGGGGGGGGGTGATGTTTTGGATTTTTTACATTTTCGTGATTTAAGTTTTTTTTTTTCTCTCTGGCTCGCTCTCTCTGTGTCTCTCTGGCTCGCTCTCTCTGTGTCTCTCTCGCTCTCTCTCTGTGTCTCTCTGGCTCGCTCTCTCTGTTCTCTCTGCTCTCTCTCTGTGTCTCTCTGGCTCGCTTCTCTGTCCTCTCTCTGTCTCTCTGGCTCGCTCTCTCTGTGTCTCTCTGTCCTCTCTGGCTCGTCTCTCCTGTGTCTCTCTGCTCTCTGGCTCGCTCTCTCTGTGTCTCTCTGGCTGCTCTGTGTCTCTCTCTCTCTCTCTCTCTCTCTCTCTCTCTCTCTCATCTCTCTCTCTCAACTCTCTCTATTCTCTCTCTCTCTCTCTCTCTCTCATCTCATGCTCTTCTTCCTCTTCCATCTCTCTCTCTCTCTTTCTCTCTCTCCGTCTCATCTCTCCTCTCCTCTCTCTCACTGTCTGTCTCTCTCT